TTTTTTCAGGCTTCTTCTTTCCAATTGCTTAAATTGGAAAATTTACTGCGATGATCATTCTTCACTTTCCAAACTCTTCGCCACACCAAATTCCAAATTCTTCGATTCCCTCGTTCCAATCCGGCTCGAAGGACCAGAAAATGTTGCCGCTACTTCTTTAGTCCCCATTGAAAACGCATAACGACAACAAATTTGATTTAACACTTTTTAATGACCAAAGACACGTCCAAGATTTTACAAAATCAGTCCCATGTGGTTGCAAAGCTTTGCAAGCTACTTCATGTCATTGACACGAAACGTCACGATCAAAATAAAACAAAAATAAAATACTGTTCCTCGGCGGTAACAGTCCACTAACAAAGGTGGCAATAACTGAGGCTTGCTAGTGAACAATTTACGAGAAGCTGATATCAAAATAGTTTTCTGTCAGTGACCAAGCCTGATTGGAGTGCACTGATGGTTTTTAAAAAATCTTTATCAGACACAGTTACATACTGTGGTACATGGTGTATTGTCTTACTGTAATTTTTGATTGCTTTACCATTCAATCTGCAGATGTATCACAGATGTTGCTGATGATGTGGAACAGAAGAGGCAAACAGATGTTGTGTTGGGAAAGGCATCCTTTTGAGTACCATGCTCAATAACAAACTCAGATTTGCTCAACTGAATGGAAGGCTGTGCAATTTCCAAGTGCTGAGCACAAATTATACATGTATGTGAGAACTTTGTCACTTTACTGGTACATGTTCAGTTTAAGGAAAGCAAGTATTTAACTCAGTCTAAGATTAAAGATAAGGTTGTATTGTATTGAATTGTTTGACGCATGTTATGCAAAAGCCTGCTGCTTGGGTAATTTTCCTCTTTTGCAAGGTCTAGTTATAATAGGTTATTGCCAATAGACATACACGGTGCAATAATTATTCAACATTTTCTGCGCACTGCCTTCTCGCATAATTAGGGCCCAGCTCCCGCTCTATAATTTCTGAACGCAATATGGCGGACGATGGAAGTTCTATTATATAAAGGGGTAGAACCCTCAAACACCCCCCGCCCCCAAACACAAATATTACATGGGCTAGAGGAGATAACAGACTGCTCCATGATTTCGGATGAGGTAAAGGTAAAGTCTGCATGCGAGCCAAGTGGCCCATCAGGCCGGAGCTTATTCCGGTATCTGTAGCATGACGCGACTAGGAGTATTTCTACTCCCCCCTGGATGGGATGCTAGCCCATCGCAGGGTTA